TCTACATTTTCAAATAACCTAATCAAAGAAACTAGTTATGTTAGTCATAAGAAGGTAAACTTTGTAAATTCAATAATATTTTTTGTTTTTTCTACAAATGTGCTCCAGAATAAGACTGAAACTAATGTTTTTATTGATAAAGGATTCCAGCTCTTCATCTTCATCCTCATCTTCTGACAGTGATAAAGATAAGAAAAAGAAAAAGAAGAAGGACAAGAAAAAGAAGAAGAAGAAGAAGAAGGATAAGAAGAAGGTGAATTTCTTCTTCTTGCCTACCCAGTAGGTTTTCTGGTTGGGCTGCTCGTCATGTGAACCTGACTGGGCATTTCCTTACTGTAGAAATGCTGAGTCATGCCACAGTTTCTTTTTTTTCTGCACCTGTCTCTAGGATAAATTTCTTAGGCTGTACAAACCTTTATATTAACATTTGTGTTCAAGAACAAATCAGATGGCACAACGGTATGTGGGCTTTTTCACAGGATGAAAAGCAGACTGAACTCAGCAGTGCTACTGCTCTGTCAGCAGCTGGTGAGTGTTTCCTCTTTTTTGGTGACTGAAAAAGACAGAATAACACATGGCAATCAAATCACCAGTCATCGCTGCAAGCTCATTTGTTCATGAGGTTGATGCAGTAGTGTTGGACTTGATCCATTTCTGCAGGCGGTGAGTTTGCAGGACCAAGTGGGGTTGGATATAAAAAGAAAGATGAAGATGATGACAAGGTGAAATACTCACACATGCTATATGCAGGCTATACATATATGCACAAACACACACAGACAAAAATTATTGCTTTTTTTTGTCAGGCCAAGGCCAAAGATTTTAAAGAAGGTGAACTGTCTTCTGCACTGGCTGGTATGTGTGCTACTCTTCTGGCTCATAAACAATAAAAGGTTGCATGTATAAGTGTTATTGGTTTGATTGCACTGGTCCCTGCCCTGCAGAGGGAGCAGAGGCGTTCCGTAATGGTACCAAATCTGCCTGTCTAAGTGGTGATGAGGGAGAAGGAGGCAAAGAAAAGGAGAAGAAGAAGAAGTTGAAGAAGAAGAAAAAGGTCATCTACTCTCATTAAACTAAATGAATAATGTAACTTTTGTGATGAATGTTACAATGTTTATTGTGCATTATTACCATGATGCACTGGTGCAATATTTATGACATAATGTTACATTACAGGAAATTCAAAATCTAAATTCACGCTAATTAAAAAACATTCACTTTTGAAATGTGAATATTTTTGTCTAATACAACTAAAATGTTTGTAGATCTAAATATGTGTTTGGTTTGATCCCTAGGACTCATCAAGCTCCTCCTCATCTTCATCTGATAGCTCCTCCTCAGATAGTGAAGATGACAAGAAGAAGAAGAAAAAGAAGAAAAAGATGATGAAGAAGAAGGATAAGGTTTGTCTTCACAGCATTTCTGTATATTCAGTTTTTTGTACTCATGCTCTTTTTCAGTGGTTCAGTATGGTACTGATATTAAATCATTATTGGTGGTCTCTTTCTGCAGGATTCCAGCTCTTCCTCCTCCTCTGATAGTGAAGATGACAAGAAGAAAAAGAAGAAGAAGAAGAAGAAGAAAAAGAAAAAGAAGAAGGTGAAAATATGTGTATACATTTGATATGCTGTTTTGTAGTGATGGTTCATATTTCTGTGCTCTGCTGTGTGTTTAACCTGTGGAAATGAAATGTAGTTATTTAACTCAGCTTTGCACCGAGATTCCTGTTGGTTTCTATGACTGACATACTGATAATGTTTTTAGAAGTCCTGCTCTTCTGATGATAGCTCCTCCTCTTCCTCATCCTCCTCTTCCTCTGATAGTGACGATGATAAGGTGAGACACAAATAAAATTCACCTATACTTGAGTTTGCCAAAAAAAAAACAAAAAAAAAAAACAGAATGGCTGCACAGTCATCATGGGTGTGTTTTTTTAACTTTAGAAAAAGAAGAAAAAGAAAGATAAGAAGAAGAAGAAGAAGAAGGACAAGAAAAAGAAGAAAAAGAAGGCAGGAACACCTCATCTTTTGTTTTCCATTCCAGGTTTTTGGTAGTTTTTGGTCACTGAAAATGATTTATATGTGAGGTTTCCTGCAAAAATAACCCATTATTGATGCTTTTTGGTCAATGTAAGAAAGTGGAATGAAATAAGTGGATCACACTGTCAGTATTCACGGGGTTGTCTGGTATAATGGGTTAAAATGTGAACTCTCACTAGTTATTTAGGCAACATGACTGCTAACAAAAGTATTAAAGTAACAGAAGGAAACATGACCACTGTGAAATTACTACTGTATGAATGAAATTTGAATATCACTTCTGTGTCTAGGATTCCTCTTCTGATTCATCCAGTGATTCTTCAAGTGATGATGAGAAGAAGAAAAAGAAGAAGAAAAAGGATAAGAAGAAGAAGAAGAAGAAAAAGAAAGACAAGAAAAAGGTAAAGCAGTGTAGATGTGTTGTATGTATATTGTATAGTTTTATTGAAAGAGAAGGTCTCTTCAGAAAGAAAAAGTAATACAGTAACACAATTTCCATATTTACATCCAAGGACTCAAGTTCTTCTAGCAGTGATGATGACAAGAAGAAAAAGAAGAAGAAAAAGAAGGACAAAAAGAAGGTAATTTAGTGGATAATAAATAAAACATCTTAATGCACATTTTCTTTAAAAAAAAAAAAAGTTATTGACAGTTACATCCGTTTTGAGCAGGACTCAAGTTCTAGTTCATCTGATAGTGACAGTGATAAGGAAAATAAAAAGGACAAGAAGGACAAGAAGAAGAAGAAAAAGGTAAAGTACCTTATCAAGGATATGTTGGTTATGTCTCTTGTAAAATTAAATAAGGAAATCTTATCGGCTCCCTTTTTGTCTTTCAGAAATCAGGCTCATCCGAAAGTGAAACTGACAAGAAGAAAAAATCTGTAAGTTTGTTTTTATGTGAATTAATTCATATTTGGGTCAAGCTAAAATTTCCTAAAGCTAAGAGCACCACTGCCATATTGCTGCATCTGTTGCTGCTTAAAGTGCCTTAGATTTTGTTACTTATTTATCTACTTTATATTTCATTTGTATTTTGTGGCATTCATGTGGACGGCAAAGTAAGAATTTCATTGTACAGGGAAACACGTTTCCTAACTGTACATATGACAAAGTAAACACTTTGAACTTTGAGCTAATGTGTCCTCACAAGCGACCTATTCGCCTTCAGCAAGTTTAGCCTTTGTTTTCTATTTACAGTATCCTTGATGTGGGGTGGTGATGTTGATTTTTATTTCAGGAAAGCCCTGATGGTGAGCCAGGTGGTGAGCCAAAAGGGGAAGTTAGGAGCTCAGGTAGCAGCACTTTTTTCACTGCCAGTGGAAGCAGCTCTAAGCCTGGTGGTGCTTCTGTTGTCTCCTTTATGTCTCTCCCCTCCAAACCTGTTGTGAAGCTGGATCCTTTAACTGTTTCCAAACCCTCTGTCTCTGTCTCATCACTGTTTGTGGGAGACAGGGCCCCCATTCGGAGACCTGTCAGCCCTATGGAGTTCCTGATGGGGACTCCAAAGGGAACCCATTCCACTACCCACCTCACCTCTACTGACCTACTGAGAGGCTCCAAGTCTTAGCTATAATGAGATGTCCTAGGTCAAAAGTATTACTGATTTTTTAAAAAGCATTGATGTTGAATGTGATGATGCTCCAATGATGCTCTAAGTACCATTTTTTTGTGCAAGAAACATAAGATCACTCATCATACAAAATATGAATGTTTTGGCTTATTTTCTGGTCAGAGGGGTAACTGGGTAAAAGTTTTCAGGTTGAATTATATCATGAAAACTGGGGATCATATATATACAGTATATAATATATCAGTTTGCAATCACATGAAAAAACATTTAATTGCTTGATTTGGGGAATCAACAAATATGATTGATTGTTAAGATCCTTAACAATTGTATGCAGTTGCATTAAAGACGTGACTGATCGGTCCCAGATTCATCATCCAGCGAGACAATGACTCCACATATACAACCAGAGTGATAAACTTTTTTCAGAAACAAGAACAATGAGTAGTGCAACAAATGATATGGCCTCCACATCTATGGGGGTTGTTTTGTTTCTTTACTCTGTCGTCAAAGAAGACATCTGACAGCAAAGCGAAATAGTTCTGATTTCAGTCAGTTTATATTTGACATCCAAAACTTTTTGGTTGCAAGGAAATTTGTTTTGATTGCAGTACCAACGTTTCTCGAATATGTTTTCTTGTTCACTTGGTTGCTGTTGTTGTTTCATTATGTTGATGTTTGAATTTTCTTGTTCACTTGGTTGTTGTTGTTTCATTATGTTGATGTTTGTGTTATTTCTCTTAATGAGTGGTCTGTGTAATTGAATTGCCCCTTTGGGATTAATAATAAATAATAAAGTGTTCAGAATCTGAATTTGAATATTTGACTGCAGAAACAAAACCCAAATACACAGTCATGGGCATAGCATCAGGGTGTCAGTCTGGAGTTAATTTGTATGAAGAAAGAGAAACACACTAAAACAGCAAAATTCACAGGAAAACGGGCAAGATCTGCCAGATGCTTAGAACAACCTATCAAATTATTTGGTACTAATTAAAGGGAAAATAGACACACATTTTAATATTTTTCAGTCATTTTACTTAGTTGTGTTGAGTTGAAGTTATTAATGTTCATGTAATTTTCTTGCCTGTAGACAATAACATGTTGCATGTTCATCTTACCTGCTGTGCAATAACTATCACACTCTTGAACTATCCTTAGCATTCAAAAGAAACTCATATAGGCCTACTAGGTTTCCAAGAAACACTGATGTTAGAAATTATTATTCACATTTTTAGGCTGCATTGTCACATCCTATATCCAATTGCCAGATGTATAGCCTCATGTTAACTCAGCTCTGCCTGCACATAAAAACAACTCCCCTGATTTCAATGAATTTACAATGACATTGCTGTTTATCTCAGCGGGGGCGGTGGTTGGTTAGGCACGGTCACGTGGTCTAGGTGCGGTCAATCCAAGCTTCCTTGTGCGTGTGAGAGTGTTTATAAAGGCAGCTTGTCAGTGTCTGCGGGTGTTTGTTTGGAAACATCACAGGACAGCTTCACGAACAGGCATTACAATGGATCTTTCAGACGGTAGGCTTAAAATTATATTAACTGTATTTAGTAGAAATTCTTTAAGTGTTAGCCCAGTTGATGTGGGTCGGTTTTTCATATCTGAATTGATCAGAAACAGACAGTTTATGGACAAGTTTTGCACATAGCAGCTTGATTATATGGAAAACACCACCAACATTTGACAGTTATTTTATTTTATTATTGTAGCTTTAGTCGTAATTTAACCCTCTGATGCGCAACCGATGTGACTCGAGTCAATGATTTTGTTTCATGTCTTTGCATGTGACGTATGTTATTACTCGATATTTAATAAATTCCTCAACCGGGTTTGATTTTATTACTTTTATGTTATATTTTGGAAAAAACAAACAAACAAACACTTTATCTGTCCCTTGTAACACGCACCAAAAAATGACCCGCACGTATGTTATTAACAGTGGAATTTACTGGAGCCGCTCCCCTCAGGTTCACAGTTTTACCTGTCTACAGCACATTCACGTTCTCATGACATCTTTATTATAACTTGACACCTGTTCTCATCTGTCTTTTGTAGCTTTACACAATGACGGTGCGGTGAAGAAGGAGGAGGCCCACAAGGATGAGCTAAATCTTCCCTGGAGCAAGAACAAGGACAAAAGCAAGGATAAGGTATGTGTACATTCTGCCAAAAATGCTCATGTAGTTCATAAGCATACAGTTTGTTTCCAGGATCTGAGGAGTAGAAATGGTAAGTGTCTTTTTTAGATGAAAGTTACACCAGTCTACTACTGATTTTAGTGTTTTATAGGGTTGGATATTGATACTGACCTCTAGATTCAGTTTGATTTTGGTTCCATTAATTCGGATTCATGATGATTCATTTACATCAGATAAATACCAATGTTGCATGAAGTGCTTCTAAGAATCTTGGGAACTTAAATATTTTCTGCATTGAGCAAGTGAGTAACACTGTTGTTTCCTTGAGTAAACAATTATGTGAGGTTTATAGGCTAATTGTAAAGAAGTTTCCTGGTTATAACATTGTCGACCAATAATTTATTGTCCTGGGCAAATGAAAAACTACTAAAACATGACAAATCTATATTTTTTAGGTTCATGAGCAAAACAATTGAGCAGGAATAATAAAACTCTACTACTGAGGGTGATACCATTGTGTGTAATTTAGACTATAAATGTTATCCCATACAGCGAGATAGCCAAGCAGCTAAACATCTTAACCTTTGTATAGATGTAACATTTAGTGCAGTTGTCTGCGTTTCAAGACAATTTGCAAAGTGTCATGTTTGTAGCCTTTCATGACACAGTGTGGTTAATATAACCAGCTGTTATCTAAGATACTTTATAACTTAACATTTTTGTGTACCTTGTAACAGCTCATTTTCCATAAATAAGAAATTTTACACAACCATGCAGCTCAAACTGAACCACTTGTAACACATAACCTTTGTATACATGTAACATTTAGTGCAGTTGTCTGCGTTTACTGAGAAAATACAAAACTCGATCTTGGGATTTCAAGGGTTGGTATTTGAATTGTTCAAACAAGAATCACTATTAATTGAAAAATCGATGTTTTTGTCCAACGCGAAATGATTTTTTTTTAGGATCACAGCAAGGACAAGCATGGTGAGAAGGATGAGTCTCACAAGAAGGACAAGCATGGTGAGAAGGATAAGTCTCACAAGAAGGACAAGCATGGTGAGAAGGATGAGTCTCACAAGAAGGACAAGTCAAAGGGCAAGTCAAAGGACAAAGATGGCAAGAAGAAAGATAAGAAAAAGCACAAGGAGGGGAAAGGATCGGGCAGCTCATCATCTTCTGATGAAGTAGGACCAATTTTGCCATTCTCCCTTTTTATTCTGATTTCCCAAATTTATTTTACGACATCTTCTTGGTCTTTAGCACATTTTTCACCCGTATTAAACTTTGGTTGATGGTTTTAATAGCCATAAATTGCAGCTCAGTTAACATACTGTTACACCTTCTTACAAAGGTTGACAACTGCTGTTATTGTGCAGTCAGTTTTAATCAGATCTGACACACCCACCCTCTCCGGTGTCTATGTACTGTTGTCAAGCAACTGTCTTCTAGATGTACTGATTCATTCTTAGCTGGTTAGACTGCAGCCAATTTCAGAGGAGTGTTTACTCTTATCAGCTTTGGTTGAATTCCTTTCATTTTGCTGTGGCTTTTATGTAGAGGAACCAAAGCTATGTGCTGTATGAACATTTAGTTTAACATGCAAATGACTAAAGCCAAAGAAGGAGGAGCCCCACTTGGGGTGGGACAAAGGAGAAACCGGTTAGACAAGTGATTCATAAAAGAGCTGTTATCTAATTGTTTGCATGAAAGTAAACACGCTGCTCTTAGACCAGTATAACATTTGTCCTCCTACATGTCATTTCAGTGAATGTTAGAGGTTATGCTCCTTTATAGAATAATTCATACACTAAAGACACAGAATGAGCTGTTTGTTACTAAATCATGTGTCCTTTCTGCAGTAACACCATTGTCCTTTGTGTCACATTAGGACTGATGCCTCCTGTGAGATCGGACTGCCCTTTGAACTCTCTCATGAATGTTGTCTGTTGAGTGTGGGCGTGGTAGAGTGTGCAGTAGAAGCAGCTTTTCTTCTTGACTTGTCACTGGTGTCACAGATTCATACCAGCACTGTATACATATCTGCTCTTTCCTATAAGTAAATGTTCTGACAACAACCAAACCAACTGTATGTTTTGTGTGTTCCACTGATAAAGCCAATCAAAGTTCGAAGTTTAAAAAGTATGTGAAATTTGTCAAGATTTATACTATATACACTGCTGCTGTTTAATATTATAACAGTCTGTAAGAGGAACATTTGTAAGCATTTTGCAGTCAAAATGTTTTGAGGAAAAGACAAAACCATTCTCTTTAGGAAGAAGAATAAATGAATGAAGTGTGTTAGTTGCTTTATTTTGAAAAGTGTGAAATTATGAAATGCACTTTTGGACATAAATTATTTTATACTGAGCTAATGCTTAAATAAAAAATACAGATGTATTTTCAGCAAAATGTACTTAAAGTATCAAGTAAAAGTGCTCATTATGCAAAATGACACAGTTCTGTGTTCTGTTGGTTTATATAATATTACTAATTTGTACATAGCCTGCATTGTTGCAGCTGGTTGAGGTGGAATTGGTGTAAACCAGTGTAAAATGCCTATAACTGTGAGATATTGTACTGAAGTACAAGGTATAATATTTCCCTCTATAGTCTAGTAAAACTGTATAAAGTAGAATCAAATGGAGGTATTGAAGTACAGTACAAGTTCTTAGAGTACTTGGAGTGATTGAGTACATGTGCGAACAGTATTACTTTCCACCACTGAGGTAGACGTACTCGGACCTGGATGAACCGCTGAGCAAAAAGTATCCCTGGTGAAAAGTGAAGCCGCTCTGCAGTGTCTTCAATAACTCAAGGAATACATCATCCAGCCGTTTACCTGACATCGATATTCAAGTTACTGTGAACTCCAGCTAGGACTAGTGGGAAACGTCGAGGATCTCCTTCAGGTGTTTTGAATATTTTATGGGGGTGCAGAAAAAAAGGAAAATTCTGAACTTTCAGTAAGGAATCAATAATAAATCAACATATGTTCTGGGGGGCTGCTGGAGAATCATGTTCAGACCTTTATTTTAACCTGTAAAGAAATGTTTACAGCAGCAAGCAGTGAAGAACATTTCCTTGTTGAATTGATCCGGTTAAAATGTCACATTTGTGCTAAAAACATCTTTCGCTGCAGCATGCTTTCATTCCTTTTACATGCTTCCTTACTACTGCACATCACATTTAGAACTTGTGATGAGCATTTTTTGTAATAGCTTTTTTTAAGTAAAAGACTAAATTAAAATGAATATATCACCAAAGATTTTAAAAAAATCTTGTACTGCTAAAAAAAAGTTTGTTTTTGGCACAAATAGAGCCTCATACATGTAGTGTCCCAGTGATCATGTAGTAAGGTCATTCACACTGTACTGTGCCTTTATGTTTAGCTTCAGTTTTCCCTATCACTATAGACTGAAGCTTTAATTGTTGTGCAACATAAAGTCATAAAGTTGCCCTTGGGTGACACAAAGAACTCCAAACACCATGTACTGCTTCAGACGTTTTAAGATCTGACCTGGTGTGCTGGTTGTTGCTTTCCCTTGGATATTACTTCCAAGAATACAGTATCACAAAAGTTGACATTTTCCATAAAGGAGCTGAGGGTGCATGCGATGAATTAAAGTTCAGACAGAAACAGAGAGTGAGAGATGCAGGCCTACATAGAGAGTGATGGCCTCAGGGCATCCTTGAAGGTCCTCTGATTTGACTGTAGTGACAGCTACTGTAAATGAATTCCTGCTAGCAGCTTTTGGGCAGAAGACAGGATAGAAAGATGAAAAGATAGATGGATGTATAAGACACTCCTCCTATCACACATTTCACTTTGAGTGTGACACTTTGAGGTGTCACTTTCTTTGTGTAATTTGGATGCATTCCCAAAAACGTGAGACTTGTTGATCTCGGGGGTGGCCGGCTGTTTCTCATGTCGCCACTGACATCCAGCTGCACACTGCGGTGACACTGCACTCCTATTTACATCACAAATTATGAAAATGACTCAGTGTAGATTGAGGCTGATTCATTTTATTATTATGGTAGAAAATGAAAGTGTTTCACTGCAGAAAGTGACAGCCTGGTGAATTATTATTTATAATATACTGTAATTATGTATAATATAAAAGGTTATATGTTATGCTATTTATACATAGGTCCGTATGAAAGCATGCACATAGTCACTGGATCGCCACTATTCTATTCTATTCTATTCTATTCTATTCTATTCTATTCTATTCTATTCTACCGGTCGTTCTGTGGATGGACCACAGGGGGGCACAAATGTCTGTCTTTATCTGTCTCTCGACTGGCGTCAGCGGTCTCCTAGCAACAGCAGTGCTCGAGCGCCGTCAAGCCACTCACGCGCGCGCGCTGAGACTGAAACAGGAAGTCAGCTGGATTTGACCTAGGAAATAAATGCACATTAAATTCAGGTGAGACTGTCCCACCTACTGTGGGCCTACAGTTTTAGCGCGCCCATGCTGTTGCTCATGCCACCACTCACCTATTGTGTCATTTGTTCTATTCAATATGATATCCAATAAACATTTAAAGAATGTCTTGTTTTTAATGCCTGTTTAGGACAGGGGTTTGATTTCCTTCTTTTCTCTTAGAAAGGCAACACTATGTATTCCAAGGGTACCAAAACGTTTGCTGTATTGACCTATTATCTTAGCTTGTTTTACTAATATCTTTCTGAATAGCATGTTTTTCTTCCATATCTTTTATTGTTGAAAATGTTGTTTCTTGAATTTAGGAATGTGCGGACAGCTCACAGAGAAACACTAACCACGTTCAGTCCTGACAGAATGGCCCTTTGACCTTTTGCCATCTAATGCTAATGATGATGTCAGAACTGTAATTTGCATTGTCTGCTATAAACGACTTTTCTGCTTATATTTTACAACTCAGCTAGTTTTGCATGATTTTCTTATTTTGAAAAATATCACTCGGAAGTCGTGTTGTTCTCAACACTGTGTGACTTTCTTATAGGTCCGCTCAGCTGCAGCAGAATAGACGAGACACCATGGAGCGCAACAAGACGCGTTGGAGAGACTCACCAAGCGGACGGGACAAGTGCCACTTTCTGATCTGTTTCTAAGTCACTCTCAGCGATAGTGGCGGATTTTCCTTCAGAGGTTTTCCAAGCGTGCGTTAATCTACTAAGAAAGGCAATAGTGTTGGGGCGACTGCCAGCTACCAAAGAACGGAAGACTAGGAGTAGTAAAAATAAAAATAACACCAGACAACAAAAAACAACAAAAACACCAGAAGGAGAGATCAGTGCCTGGTGGATAAAAATGCTCCCAGTGTTGTTTTTACCAACACATTTGAACATTTCATGTTGCTTTCGGTAAATTCCCCTGGTGTGCGCTGCGTAAAACTCTGGACTGCTTTCATGCCTTGTGCTATTCGAAGGATCCGTTACTTTTCTCTAAAGAAACTGTGAGCGCAGCTCAGACTTCTTAACGAAGGAGGCTCCGGGCTAAAACTGAGAAGGAGTCACCAGACCGTTACGAATCATGGTGAAGTTTCATAACTCGGACCTATGGATAGCTTGGATGGTCGTTTTCTGCATGGAGGGTAAGTTGTCTGACACTTGGAAACTTAGCCTACCTATTCCAAAGTGCAAGCTCAACGCATCTTGTACACAGTAATCCTGTAACAACAACTACTTCTACAACAACAATAATAATAGGGGCGCTCCTGAACGCTTACAGGGTTTGACTCAAGCAGACAAAACATTATTACAATACATCTGCATCAGTATTGCCAAAAACAGATGTATTTAGAATTAAACTGTGCAATGAGCTAAACCTCTTCTCTCCGAGAGCGCATGCCACAGCCATTTGATCCTCTCCTCCTTAATACTCTGTGTTTGGATCAGGCTGACGAATCCCCGGCATTTTCACAAAACACTAAAGCACCGATTTAGGAGGACTTTTCCCCATTACTAGTCGCCATGCTCTCTCTCCCAAAAGCACCTTTGATTGTGCAGGTCTCTTATCCATAATGCGCTCTGTCGTGCGCGTCATGAACAACATAAGGGCACAGCCACCAAACATTTCACAGTAGTGGGAGACTGTGTTTAAACATTTCACAGTAGTGGGAGACTGTGTTTCGAAAAAGAAACAAAACTGACGGTGGAGGGTTGCGCTTCTTACCCACCCGATTACCGAAAGCGTGGTGACCAGGCGGCACGGGAAAGCAGGCGACTCCAAAGGAAAATCACCATATAAATCTGCTACCTCCTAACTGACTTATAGTTCTGATTTCAGTCAGTTTATATTTGACATCCAAAACTTTTGGGGGACGGACAATATTCCTATTAATATTCCTTTCATTTCAAGTGTATTTGTCATATTTGTTAAGTAAGTATTTCTGTATGTTTCCTGAAGTTCAGCAACATTGTAGAAAAGATTAATGGCACCCATTCATAAATGCACAACATAAGTAAATGTATTCATGCAAATACGGGCTGGTGAATATAGGTGGATAAATGCATTTTGAGACTGTGAGATAAAAGTAAGTTAAAATAAATGAGTTCCCTCTTCAACCTTTTTTCAAATAATGTACACATCTTGTCAGAAAAATAGCAAAGTACTAGTAAATGTCAAGGCAGTTCCTTAGAGCCTCATGTCAGAACACAGAAGTATTTTGAATGAGTCATGCAGGCGCACACATACGTTGGCCTGTCGATTTCCACAGAATGATTGTATGAGAGTGAATTAGGATGTGATTGCATAGATGTTTCCCTCTGCTGCTCACTCATTTAGGTGTATACAGTACCTCAGCAGTGTGTGGATCTATAGTGTTTACTTGGGGTTACACACACATGATTTGATTTTCTACATCTGTGCTTTTGTTTAATAAAATGGTTTGAAATGAAAACAGTAGATTGTGGTCATTCCTTCTTTGTCTCCCAAAGTGATCACGTCTACCCAGTTATTGCCTCAGTTATTGCAATGAGTGAAGAAATCACCTTCCAATGAGAACGAGCTGCACGTATGAGCTCAGCAGCTCCAACTTATTCAGAAAGAAGCTGGAAGAAGTTTTGAAAAGCAAAAAACTGTGAGCAACAACTGGAGAAAGTGGAACTCATAAGTGACTTGGACAGACATTAGTCATGGTCAAGTTCATGGCAGGGCCCTTCCTGCTTTAATCTTTAGTTAGAGGACATCAGCCGTCAGCCCTCCCTAGTTAGACATGAATATTATATCCTTTCTTCACAGTTAGAAATGGGCATCTCACAGCTAGATGGTGAAGAAAAAGAGCGTGCAATGGGTAAAGTGTTGGAAGAAAATATGTAAAAGTTAGAATGATAAACAGATGTGACTGCATGCTTTTAACTGATTGGTTCAGCTGGTGACACAAAGAAACCCCCTGGCGATATCAAGACAGAGCTGTTCTGTCCGTGATACTCTGATTGAATAAACCACCAGAACGAACAATGTGGCAGGGACTGATCTGGGGGTCTAATCAATACAGGAAATTAAAATCAAGTTTAGCCAGTTAGCTCTGAACCTTTCAGCTACTGCTGTTTATTTTGGTTGTTTGCATAATAGAACTTAAAGAACATTTCAAACAACCTCCTTGCATCCATCTCTTACTGTTTGTATGTTTGTAAGTGAGGAATCCATCAAGCAATGTGGAGTCCTAAAGCATCAAAAAGAAAGACATCATGGAATGTTTCTTAAGCACAGTGGCATTCAGGGCATTCATGTCTGCATCGGTGCCGAACTTCTCTGTGAGCTTGTTAACCTTTGAGGCTCTTGCATATAAAACTGCAAAGCAACCCAGATCTGTTTGTTGTTGACATGTTTTTCTTTCCTCAGTTTGCTGATTTAATTTCAGTTCTTCACGCAAATATGTTTCATGCAACACAGTTGCACTGAGTTCACCATGGTAGTAATGATGGTTTTGTTGATTAAAAAAACACAGCTACCAAGGTAGAAAATGCTCTATAATATAGCATAATGGAAAAATTATTATTATTATTGTTGTTGTTGTTGTTATTTTTATGCCCCACAAATTATTCGAATAATTTGTGGGGCATACATACATTCATTATTTCATGCTCTATTTTCAATAACTACAGTATATTACAAAGGACTGAGCACCCAATAAAAACATTTACAAAACTGTGTTTACTTGGATCTTTCGATGGGCTTTTCAATGCTGCTTTGTTTTGTTAGTTAGATTATTTTGCAACTACTTAAAGATAATGAGGGACGGGAAAGAACCGAGCGACAAGAGCTTTGAAAAGAGAAAAACATGTTAAAGCAGCGGAGACAGGAGCCCAGATCAGCAGGCCATTTTAACTATAAAACAGGTTACGGGTAATGTAACCACAGGTGAACGTGCACTGTTTTTTTTTTATGTTATGCACCCTAGCATCTAACTTAGAACATGTCTCTCTTTGTGCCAATGCAGAATGCTTATGAATTAAACAATCCCATTTGTCTCAGTTTTAGCTAAGTAGTGTTTTATTTTATTTTATTTTATTTTTCCTTCAGTTTCTGCGTGCTGCTAAAACGGAGCAGCTGGAACAAGAGTGTTGGACAGATGGAACTTTCCACCTCAATTATTTTTGTCACTAAAAATAGACTCTCAAAAATTAAAAGACCTTAGGGACAGTTTGCAAAGTGCATGTGTGTGTGTGTGTGTGTGAGCAACAGCGGCACAGAACTTCAGACGATGGGGTCCTCAGATGATGGCGGCAGCAGCCATCCAGGGAGAGTGAATGAATAAGTGATGGGCAGATATTTGGAGGAGAGAGAACGCAAGCTTCCGCCCGGTCCCAAGGTCTTTTAAGTACATATTAAACCAGGACCTGATGAGTCCACAGGCTCCACAGCACTTGGCCAAGCATCTGGGGTATACATCTGATGTGCTCAGTTCACAGAGGTTTGGGGCTTTGAGGTTTTGGGGTTGGTTGTACCTTTAATCAGAGAAGCAAATGAAGGGACCATGAGTGAATCATGGGCATGTAAGGAGCAGAGTGATGTTGATGATGCAGAAATGTCATCGGTTGCATTTTGAACTGTATTTGGGTTAGATGATTAAGACTAGGTGCTGGGGAAGTAGGGTGCCACTTATCAAAAGAGCAGCTCATCTGGAGGCTTCTTTTAGATTCAGGTTTGTCATTTATAACATGTGGCAGACACTTTTCTTTCTGGTGTACGTTTATTCAATCATTTCAGGTGAGTGACTTTGATATAGCCATGTCATTCTCAGAATCAGATTTATTAATTAAGTACTGTATGTGAAACAAGGAGTTTGACTCCAGTACAGTGGCTTTCAATGTGCAGAAAAACTGTGTGAAGACATTTCATTAGTAAATCAAAGTAGAAATGCATTTTTATGTTGCAATACTGTAAACAGTAGCCATTTTTATTTATGCTTAAACCACAGGACCTACATAACATCTCTGTGGATTATGTTCAGTAATTAAACTGTCATGATTGGGATGATATAATTCAAAAAGCAGAAAAAAAGTCCACGACAACAGCACGAAACATCAGTGAATTTACATTCTTCAACTGTATGCAACAGTATATTGATTATAACACACTGTGACAGGTTGAACCATTTGGATCTCTTAGACTGATTTTGAGTTCTGTTTATGTTTGTGTGTGTGAAAGGCCCTGGGCTTTTTTCCTGTGGTGGGAAAAAGAAGGGATTGGAGGATTTGTTGGTGTCCATTTGTATTTTGAGCCGGTGCCATTGTCTTTCACTAGCTGGACTCTCTTTGTGACTAACGGTTTCTGTTTTTTTGTTCAGTTACATGTACGACTTTCATCTGTCATGAATGAAATAAGGGTTGCTCTTAGTTCAGACTGCTGACATGACAAGGCAAGGACAGTGTGTGTCCAAGAGTTTCTGTACAAGACAATTCCACTGGCATGGCTGCTGCAAAGAAGTGTTATGCATTTTTAAAGCGGATGTCTTCATCATGTCATGACACCATGGAGAGCCTCTTCCTTGAAATGAAGAGTTTTGCTTTGCTGGCTTTTAAGGTTTGACGGGACCTTTGCTGACAGGACTCACATCACACGAGTAACTCAGGAATATTTAAATAGGAATAGAGCTGTGAAAGGTGTTACATAGTAGGGAAAAAAAACTTTTTCAGTAAATCAAAGTTTAGTGAAGGGACTTTAATATTACAAAAAAACCCCATTTAAAACTTTTTTGAAATAGTAATCATGTTCTAAATCTATAACATTTTATGATGTTATGATGTGGTTTGTGTCTCCACTTTTCATTTAATTAAAATGTTTTCATAGCTTCATTTATTCCCACAAACCTGATGAAAATAGAGCTGTGCTCTTTAGGGCACAACTCATGTTTGCAACATGCTAACTGACTTATAGTTTGCCAAAGCCCTCCTACACCATTCCTGTGTGTCTGATACCATATATTGCAGCTCTCCATCTGTGTTTGCCAGATGGTCATTAGGTTGATTTTTGCTATTACCAAGAATAGTTGCTTTGTTTATGAATTCAGATCAATGGTGAAGAAAATGCTCCTGTGAATACATTATTCCCACAAGTGTGTGTACGTGTGTACTGTATGTGTGTTTG